ACCGTCAAGACCCAAATGGGATTTTATTGTTAAAAAGGGGGGGAAAAGCCACTGCCAAGTAACAAAACCAGGTTCCCTCCCCTACCCCCAGCTATAATATGTGAAATGCCTGTTGACCCCTTCCCCAGACATCCAGGGTGCCCTTGACCTGGTGTGGGCCCAGGAGCCCCATCTCACTAACAGCTCCTCTCCCCCAGTTCCAAGGCTGAGACTGGCAACAGATCTGCACGGGGTTTTGGCAACAGCATCTGTCCAGGGCTGGGATGCCACGGACCCGGCCATCCCAGCCACGCCTCCTGGCCTCACCTCCCTTCCCCGGTGGCACTGAAAGCATGGAAGGGTTGGGCCGACAACCCCATAGTTCCTGGGTCTCGGAAGGCCCAGCCTTCTGAGATCCCGAACCCCAGCTCCCAGGTCACCCCCACATGCCCAGCCTCGATCTCCCATTCCCTGCTACACCCTGTTTAGTCTTGTGGGCAGGAGAGCTGGTTCCAGGCAGGGCCCCTCAGTTATGCCGGATGCGTCCATCTTTGCCATGGGTGCTTGTACCGTGGGGCAGGTGGGGCCCACGAGTAACCCGTGGGGAAGTGCCAGCTGGGTTGGGGGGAATAGCAGGGCGCGAAGGGTCCCCAGGGCCTGCAACAGGGGAGGGGCCAGGATCAGTGGTTTAGCGATGCCTCCCATCCGTTTTCCCATCACCCAGGGGCCGTGAACTCCCTAGGGGCACAACCCAAGATGCCAGTCTCATGAATATTCTGCAAGAGCCATACTTCCAGCAAAGGGCAGCCATGGGGGCAGGGAGCTCCACCATTCTGCTCCCTGGGCTGGCCAGGGCCTCCCCTTCCCCATTCCCTCCCTTGCTGGTACTGACCCGTGTTCTGGCTCGGAGGGAACCTGACTTTGGCCAAAGGCAGCGTGATCTTTCCCAGATGCCGGATGCCAGGGGCTGGGTGGCCACACACTGGCATCCTGTGGTCCGACATGCCCTCCGTGGGACAGGGCCCCAGGAGGTGTGTCTTGGGGCGGGAGAGCTGTGTTGGTTGGAGAACAGTGAGGTGAGGCCAAGAACAGCACAGGGATCTACTGCAGGAATCTCTTCCCTGGCTCCTACACCAGCTTGGGGATAGAGCCATTGTTGAGGGTGGTGCCTCTGGGTTCGGTGTAGGGCTGGAGGGGCCCTCAGGTCCCTACCCCCAATGAAGGGGCCCAGACATCCCACCCCTGGCACCTTGCCTCACCCCTTGCCCCATGACCTCGAAGGACCGGGACCTCCGCTTCCTCCTCTTCGCCTCCAGCGACTCCTCCCTTTTCTTGCCCAGGCTTTTCTTCTGGCCACGCGGCCAGGGCCTGGGGCCATCACTGCGATGCTCGACTGCTTGGGATGGGGCCTCGCCTGTGCTGCTGGACAGGTTGTCCTCCCTGGCAGTGTGCTGCAGCATGGGGCTGGGTGGTCGCTTGCAGGCCAGCGGGCCTGGTGGCTGTGCATCCTCAGCCTCACTCAGCGAGTGCAGGGACAGGCTACTGTGCTCTGTCGCGGGCGCCAGCAGGTGGCACCCCTCAGGGCCCAGGGCCTGTGAGCGCCGCCGGGCAGCCTTCACCAAGATGCACTTGGTGCCCGTCAGGATCTCCTTCCTTTCTGCAGCAGGACACATGGGTCACCCAACCTGAGGTCAATGACACCTCCTGACACTCCTCCTCTCCATGGCAGAAATGGGT